GTTTCTCTGTATCCTTGGAAACGTGAATTATGATTTTTGCTGTGCCTTTAAAACCCAGTAATTTTAAAAGTTACTCCAAAATTCGATCGAGGATGAAATGGAACGAATGTCTTTAATTTAATTCCAAAATTAAATTCGGAGCTTTCGGCTTCCATTTTTGAAACATGGTTAGAACTGTGTAGCGAAGAAAAATCAATTCTGTTTATTAATTTTCTTTTTTGCGGATAATTTCTTTTTTCTTTTTCTTTTTTTTTTTTATTAATTTAAATCTGAGTAAAATTTTTCCCAATGGAACTTATCTCACGAGTGTGCGTACGTGCCTGTATTTGTATATGTGCGTGTGGCAAAGAAAGAAAGAGGGAGAGAGATGAAGGAGAGTAAGAGGTAGAAGAATATTTTAGTAAATGGATTTTTCTATCGTTTTTTTTTTTCCTTTGGATTGAAAACATGGAAATGAAAAATAATACTTGAGTTTAACTTCTGACAAATAAAATGGTCGATTCTACGTTAAGTGAAATTAACGGGAAAACGTCACGTAGCAGAAACATGTAACGGAGCCAATAAATCCATAATTTTTTTTTTCTTGAATATTCCTTCCATACGAGCGTTTGGTGTAGAATTCTCTTGCACTCCGTCTGGCATGTATAAACATATGTGAAGGAATCTCTCAATGCAATACACCCTTATTTCATTATTTTGACCCACGAGGGATATTAATGGTATGGAAGTTGATGTTTAATATTCTGGCAAATTAGAGTCTGACATGAAAGTGAGTGATTTCTTCCAATCGAAAATATTTTTTAAATTATTTCACCCAAATGAAGGCAACACATCCACTAAGATACAATGGGTTACTGAGTGTGAAAGGATAAGAATAATATTAAGTGTCATTGCATTTAAATTATTGAAAATTTGGCCTGAAAGCGAATATTCCTACGTTAAAAGGCAGTTTTTTTTGTTTACGGATAAAAGTCCAAGGCCCTTTGTCGGTGCGAATTTTCTTGAGCAGAAATGGTGTCACACCATAACACCTAAATATATATATATACCCCATGTGTAACAGCAAAATTATCCAAATCGTGTAACATCATGTGACAAATGCCCATCCCACAAAATGTTTAATATCTAAAAAAACATTAATCTAGTTGAGATACTTATTTTTCAGGTTTTCAGATAAAATGTTTAGCCATCTTGATACCATATTTCATAAGAATCAGTGAAAAAGACAGTGAATTATTCAGCTCGAAATAAAGCAGGTTAAAATCGTTTTGTGTCAGACCAACTGTCTTTCTAAAGTGAGCAATGGTTAGAGGAAAAAGATCATTCAAGCCTTTAGAAATGGTACCAACATTCATATTCTGGTTTTCATCTTCAAAATCGACTGAAGAACCATCAAGAGAACGGTGAACCAATTTTAACATGAGGCAACAGTACAGAGAAAAACCGAATCAGGAGGTCACAGCAGGAAGAAGGGTCATCATTTTAACTTCGAGCTAAATACATTTTTATTGTTCAAAGGTAGAGTCTAACAGTGTCATAAAAACCACGGAGAATTCCAGTAAGATATCTTTAATCGTGTGCAGGTGAAACATCCAAGAAAAAAAAATTATGGATTTATTGGCTACGTTAAATGTTTCTACTATGTGACGTTTTCCTGTAAATTTCACTTAACTCAAATATTATTTTTCATTTCCATGTTTTTTGATCTAAACAAAAAACAAAACCAAAAAAAAACGAGAGAAAAAAAAAAGTTATTTATATATTTATATGACTCCTCATACTATACCCTAGTTTTATAAGAGCCAAATCAGACTGAAAATGGAGTATTGTTGACCTAGATGAACGGGAACCGCCATGTCCTCACTGTCCAATCTTGATAGAGTTAAAAAGTTTCTCCGAGTCCCTGTTGAAGAATTAGTTTCAACACTCCACCCCACTCTCTCTCTCTCTCGCTCGCTCGCTCTCCCTCTCTCTCAAGGAAAAGAAAGAAAGGAAAAAGGAAGAAAGGAAAGATCTCTCTCTCTCACACACACACACACACAGGAGGAATGTGGCGAGCTTCTCACTTCTCTAACGCTACTTCCAGGTAAAATGGTCGGACGAACTGCATTCCTTGGTTCCGCAAAGCTCTAACATTCACGACTGTGTCCCGTCATGCCTCTTACATAGTAACACACCACCCACATTCCTTCTGTGTGAGAAGTAAGTTCCCCTCGAATAGCTTCTTTCCGAGAACCATTGCGCTGTGGAACAAACTCCTACGATCACTACAATCTTAAATTGTTCAAGTCCAGAGTTAACCTTTATCATTCTCTCCTATCCTTATAAACTACCCATTGGTGAGAAGTAAGTTCCACTCAAACAGCTTCTTCCTGCAAACCACTGTCCTATGGAACAAACTCCCAAGAGGATGTTTCCCCGATCACTACAATCTTAACCTGTTCAAGTCTAGAGTTAACTGTTATCTTTCTCTCCTATCCATATAAACTACCCATTGGTGAGAAGTAGTTTCACTCAAACAGCTTCTTCCTGCAAACCACTGCCCTATGGAACAGACTCCCAAGATGATGTTTCCTCGATCACTACAATCTTAACCTGTTCAAGTCCAGTGTTAACCGTTATCCCCCACTCTTATCTATATAAACTACCTCTTAACGTATGGACACGAATGGACACCAGGACTTGTATAGAGTGAAACTTACTTTAAAAATAAAAACGTTGAAAGCTTATATACGTTTTGTATTAGAAGTAGTACTAGTACTAACAACAGAGCAATAGGGATAACCGGCTGAAAGGGGTGTAGCTGCAGTAGATACTTTAGGTTTGCTTTGGTTTCTTTTACGGCATATCAACACCTCAATGGGCTATTTAATGCCGACAAGATTTTATTGCTGGTAATATCTTTTTTCAAAAATGTATTACTGTTAATTTTTTTTCAAACATGTATTGATGGTATTTTTTTTTCTTCAAAAATGTATTCCTGGTACTAATGATTTACAAAAATCTATGGCTGGTATTAAAATCTATTTTTACACTTTCATAGTGTTTTGACCCCAGTATGGGCGTTAACTATTTGCTCATCATACCTTGGAGCCTAACTGGTGCTACCACCTCGGGTTTGTTTGGACCTGGAAACACCAGCAATTAAGAGGTTGTTCCACGCTCCTCAAAACCTCCTGATCAGAGGCCTTGCTGTTGGATGCAGTTTATCGTCTTATCGAGGACGCGGATGTAGTTTATCGTCATACCCAGAACGGGTAGATATTTTAAGCAATACAGGCAATAAAATGGAAAGGAAATAAAAAAAATAAGATGTGTTGAAATACGCAGTAGAAATGAATAATATTGAAAAAGTGTAATCATTAAATACACGATTTGTATGACTATTTTTTTTTTTTACCAAGGACTGATCTTATATTATTGACGGGAATTTATAAAAAGACAATCAGTTCCAAATTAGGCCCCGAAAATAAATATATCAGATCAGTTCCTGAACTTTATAGTAACACAATCGGCTCCAAACAATGCCTAAATTGTCTGAATATCTCATACGAGTCACTGAAATTTATATGAAGACAATCAGAAACAAACTAGGCATAGACAGACTGAATATCTCAGATCAAGTACTAGAATCTATAGGAAGACAATCAGCTCCAAACTAGGCGCTAACAATCAAAATCTCAGATCAGTTACTGAAATGTTTAAGCAGTCAATTGGATCCAAATTTGGCCTGAAAAAGACTGAATATCTAATATCAGATACTGAAATTTGAAGGAGGACAATCGGTTGGGAATTAGGCCTAGAAAAAACTGTATACCTCAGATCATTTACTGAAATTCTTATGAAGGCAATTGGCTCATAACTAGGAAGCAAAAAATGAATATCTTGGATCACTTACTTACATTTATAGGAAAACAGTTGGTTCCAAACTAGGACCCCAAAATGAATATTTCTACAAGGATAGACTGAATATCTCAGATCCATTGCTGAAATTTATAGGAGGACAATCAGCTGTAAACTAAGCCTGTAAAAGACTGAATATGTCCGATTAGTTACTGAAATTAATAGGAAGACAATACGCGCCAAAGAGTTCTAAAAGACTCAATATCTCAGATCAGTTACTGAAAATTTTAGGGAAGGAATCGGCTCGAAACTCAACCTAAAAAGCTGAAAATCTCTGTTAAGAAACTGAGATTTATAGGAAGCCAATTGGTTCCAAACTAGACCAAAAAATGAATATCACTTATCGAAATTTATAGAAAAATAGACGGCTCTCAACTAGGCCTGCAAAGACTTAATGTCTTAGATCAGATACCAAAATTTATTGAAAGAAAATCGGTCCCAAACAGGGTCTTTATATAAAGGCGGAATTCTTCAGATCAGATACCGAAATTTATTAAAAGAAAATCGGTCCCAAACCGGGTCTTTATATAAAGGCGGAATTCTTCAGATCAGATACCGAAATTTATTGAAAGAAAACCGGTCCCAAACCGGGTCTATAAAGGCGGAATTCCTCAGATCAGATACCAAAATTTATTGAAAGAAAATCGGTCCCAAACCGGGTCTATAAAGGCGGAATAGCCTCAGATCAGATACCAAAATTTATTGAAAGAAAATCGGTCCCAAACCGGGTCTATAAAGGCGGAATTCTTCAGATCAGATACTGAAATTTATTGAAAGAAAATCGGTCCCAAACCGGGTCTATAAAGGCGGAATTCCTCAGATCAGATACCGAAATTTATAAAAAAAAAACAATCGGCCAAAAAACTAAATTCCGATAATGTTCTATCCAAAAATTCAAAAGGAAAATGAAACTAAAAATGTTACAATGAGGATGCTGCAAATACCATTGACGAAGCATTTGAAAAAAGGAATTTAAATTGAATTTTCTGTAACGCATAATGGAGAAAGACGGCATGGAAAGTTTGATACTCACAATACATATCGGATTCAAGAATAAAGCAGGAAAAAACAATAAGTAACCTACTAACAAGCAGGGTTTACGACCATATCACGTAGACTCACCGGTTCCAGTACGACCACCGAAGTTAAGCAACATCAAACCTGGGCATACCTAGATGGGTGACCGTTTGGAAATACCAGGTGCTGTAACCTTGGATGTGTGTGCAGTATGGCTTACGGTCGCATCACATTAAAACACCGCTTCCCGCACGATCACCGAAGTTAAGCAACGTTAAACCTGGGCAGTAGGTGGGTGACCGTATGAGAATACTAGGTTCTGTAAGATTGGATGTGTGTGAAGTATGGCTTACGGACACATCGTGTTAAAACGTCTTTTCCCATACGATCACAGAAGTTAAGCAACGTTGTTGCTGGCCAGTACCTAGATGAGTTACCGTATATACCAGGTCTTGTAAGCGTGGATATGTGGGTAGTATAACAGATGATGGCTCGGAATTGGTAATCAGAGGGCCAAGATCTATTTTAGCTGAATATGTGATATTCGCTTTTGCGCAAAAAAACTTGGGAAAGGTATGAATCTGATTCTTCTCCATCCAGCTATGGGTTAATTAGTAAAACTTGCATCACTAAAATATTATGTTCACAATAAAATAAAATAAAATGGCGTACAAAATAATTATATTTCGGTATATTAAATAACCCATAAAGATTTGAATGCTGCTAAACAAAGTAAACCTAACGAGCATGAGCAAATCAACCTAATGAGCATGCGCAAATGGATATCGGAGAAATTAATGGCGTATAGTAAAAAAGACAGACATTAATAATAATTACAAAAGATGAGAAGTTGTGGAAAGCCGTCATCGCACAAGCACATCCTGAAGTCGCGCACAATTTCCATATAATACAATAATTCATGCAGTTATATTTTCTGAAGTATCTAGATATTTGTAGTAGGCGAAAACTGACAGGTTTCATCAGATGTGTTTGAAATATTTAGTGTATGCCGTCAGCGTTTGGGGTACTGGAATTCATTTAGATAATTATACCGAGATCTAGAATAAAGCAGACACTCTTGCCTATGCCATATTCTCCTGCTTCCGAAAGAAACGAATGCGCAGGTAATGTAGTAGTTAACGGTTTGAACCGTGAAATTGGCGTGCAGAGTTCGAAATCTTGTCGCGATCGTTACATACACTTTCGCACGATAAAATTTAGGAAATGGATAAATCTTTCGATTCTCACCCTGACCAGCTATTGATTTAATAACAGAGAAAGATTGGTCGTAGAGAAATGGTTGGCTACAATCTTATGGAGAAGGACCACCTTGAATTCAAAACGGTATAAACAAAGGCAACATGTTAAATATCTTGTAAATGTTTTAACTAAGGAAGGATAATACGTCAGCGAAATACGAATACTCATTGGGGCAGCGAAAGATGTCTTCAATTTTGTTTCGTTTGGCTTATTTTGTTTTATGGCATATCAAACTCAACTGGTTACGTAATAATGACAAGGGATCCACGGTGGAGTATTATTATTAGTTTTTGATTTTGCCGACTGCACACTAGAGTAGGGTCAGTTAAACACTGTCTGTGAGAAAAGAAGCACCATGAGACAATTCACTCCGCCTGAAGTTTGCGGCTCTGCTTAGCATTCGCCCCGGTAGATTCAATACGAACATTTCAGAGAGTTTGGGTATCAATCGGTGGACAGTAAAAAGGATCCGGAAACAGTTGGATGGTATATCACATCAACAACATGGCATTTGGTGTGATCACTAGTGATGACGACGTTATGTGCCCATTTTTACATTCATCTCACAGGACCTCAATTCAACCTAGAGGGCTACATCGAGTGTCTTGAGGAGGTTGTGCTGCCCTGGGTCATGTGAGGGGCTACTGAGATATACTATGTCTGGCGAAAGGACTCTGCACCTTGCCACACAACCAGGGGAACCTTGTCATAGCGGTCAGACAATTTCTGCGACCACATCACCCCTTGAATCTGGCCACCTAAGACCGCAACACCCTTGATTAATATGTGTGGGATGCAGTTGAAAGAGAGGCAAACAAAAGTCTTTCCAACACTATGGATGAACTGAAGGCAAGGATTATGACAGCATTCGCTAACTTAAGAAAGGAGACCCCCCAGAAGAGATGTAGGAGATTCCGAAGTTGTATGGAGGGCGTGGTTGAAACCAATAGCTGAATGTATTGAATAAAACTACTCTTTAGTATTTCAAGATATTTTTGTGTACATTTGGTAAATATATCTGTTAGAATGAGATGTCAGAGTTTTTTTTTTGTTTTTTTTTTTCATTTTGGCGTCATTTAGACGACAATTTATCCATCACACCCTGTATAACTGTTAAAATGAGATGTCAGTGATATTTTCATTTTGGCCTCATTTAGCCGACAATTTATCCATCGCACCTTACATATCTGTTAAAATGAGATGTCAGTGTTATTTTCATTTTGGCATCATTTAGACGACAATTTATGCATCGCGCCCTGTAGATTGGAGAACAAATGCTTGTAGTGATCAAAAAGTGATTAAATACATTTTAATATTTGGTATTTCCTACCTGTTTTGTTTTGGCCAGGAATCTTTTAGTACCGTCGAAGTGCTTCGGTTGAGGACTGACCCGATGAAATCTGTTATAGCGTTAAATAACACTTATTATCTTATAAATTCGATTTTACCGGGGCAGTAGTTCGTCTTGAGACACACATTCTATGTCGTGTCTCTCAGGAGGATTAATTTGTTTCTTTATCAACAAATATTAACGTCAAAGTTCACTATTCGAAGGACAACTTTTACGAAATTAGCGAAATCAATTTCTAAAATAATAAGAACGTTTCGCTAGAAACCAGGGAAAGGGTACTAAGCTACTACGCGATATCTTTCCTCCTGTATGGCAGAATGATCTGGACGATCTTCTTAAAAACAGGGAAGTTGAAGCAATGAAAAGGTTTTCTATAGAATTATGGTAAGAATAACGGGGAGTGAACATGTGGGCAAAGGCGATGATTTGGAGAAAATGGTGACAAAAAGGAAACTGTTACTTAATATCACACAGTTGAAATTTCTAAGGCATATAATGAGGGAAAGGACGGTATAAATTATAAATAGTTATAAATAATTATACACTATTTTATCATTGTGATATTTTGATATCAACATCAATATAGTAACTAGTGTCCGTTAATTCGAGGAGAAAGTTAGAAAACTATCATTGACTCGAATTTCGACACTAGTTACTATTGTTGCAGACCTGTTAGCATGCAGTGCTGGTTTATTAAAAAGGTGGCCTTGTGCCAAACTACTTATGACTACCGAATCCACAAACAAAAAGAATATTAAAAGTGATCTTTAGTGAGAAAAGGGGTCATTTAACACATGCCTAAAAATAGTAAAATATAGATAGCCAGGATAAAACGACAAAATGAGTCTGGTGGAAAACAAATAAGAAATTTTATTTTAATAACAAATAATTTTGTCTCAACAGTGGAGACAATCAGGAAAGGTAAGGTCTGTTTTTAGCCTGTAGGCTGTTAGTAATATGTAGAGACTAATAAAAGAAAAAAACCAAGATGGCTAAGGCGGGAAAAGTTTCTTCAGAATGAAAGTTCTGGAATAATGTCTTTTTGTACGAAAGGTGTATACGTACACAAATAGGAAAAGTACTCACTGCGAGGTTTAATAATGTGTGTGTAATGTTATCTTTTTTTTGGAATTGGTTCGTAAAGGTTAGAAGTTTCAAAGGCGTATGAAAAGTTCATCAATCTTCAGTGAAGGAAAATTCTGAGTCGTTCGCATCAAAACGAGGAATTGGTCTTGGAAAAGTGTGGTGACGACAGTGTCGTAGAACTCTGGTAGTGAAAAGAGGAAAAGTTCGAAAGTTGTTCGAATCAAGACGGGGAATTGGTCTTGGAAAAGTGTGGTGACGACAGTGTCGTAGATTCTGGTAGAAAATTAAGTAGGTTCAGACATGTTCACTTCAAGACGAGGAATTTGGTCTTGGAAAAGTGTGGTGACGACAGTGTCGTAGATTCTGGTAGAAAATTAAGTAGGTTCAAACATGTTCACTTCAAGACGAAGAATTTGGTCTTGAAAAGTGTGGTGACGACAGTGTCGTAGATTCTGGTAGAAAATTAAGTAGGTTCAAACATGTTCACTTCAAGACGAGGAATTTGGTCTTGGAAAAGGGTGGTGAAGACAGTGTCGTAGATTCTGGTAGAAAATTAAGTAGGTTCAAACATGTTGTTCACTTCAAGACGAGGAATTTGGTCTTGGAAAAATATATTGACGACAGTGTCGTAGTCTCTACATTTTCTAGCTGAAAACGGAGGAAAGTTCAACATGCTGTTCGCATCAAGACGAGGAAAAATCTTGGAAAAGTGTGATATCGACAGTGTCGATACTCAACGTTTTCTAGTAGAAAAACGGAAGAAGGTTCAAACAAGTCCTTTGAAGAGAAATTGTAATCACACGACATGTTGAAGTTTTGGTTAGTTAAGATATTCCGGCCCGCGTATGGGTTAAGGGCACGGAATAAATGAGTCAACCATCTAGTTTAAAAATCAGGTGGCGACTAACTTGAAAACGCTGTTCGTCTGTGACGTCAGAACACGCGCGGCAAAAATTTCAAATTCTGATCCTAGACGGTATCAGGAGTTGTTAGCCATCGTTCCACACGTCGGCGGTTACTGCTATATCTAGCCAAATGTGAAAGGAAGGGGTGCACACGCAAAAGGGTGGAATTCACGATTCCACACTATAACAGGTGATAAAGGAAGATAAAAGCGGATTCAAAATCAGAAAATTATTATTGATGACTTTGAATCCACTTTTATCTCGCTTTATCCCCTGTTATCTCTTTTTTTAATCATATTTTTAAATGTAGTTTTTATCACAAATAATCTGTTGATGGGGGGAGTAAAATTTCATTCGTAAGAGCGGCCCACTGCTTGGAAGCCTCTACGCTAAACAAATTGATCTCAATACCGTTTTGTGTGCATGCTCAGGTTTGTTAGTTGCAAGGTATTTCAGTACTTTCTTTTTTTTTTCGTGGACGAATGATAAATGAGTATAAATTTATAAAAACCGCATCACTCAAAATTCAATATCCTCTGACAGAGGAAGGCTGAAAGGAAGGCGAACGATTTGCGCATGCCCGCCGACAGAAACGATACATGAACGCGTTTCTTGATTAAAATTCAGCGTTTGGCTTAAATATGAATTTTGGGTGTTTTTAATTGTCTAGATGTTGTTTTTTTTTGTTTTCTTTTTCTCTCTCTCTTTCTCTCACTCACTTT